AAAAAAAAAAAAAAAAAAGAGGGCTGAGGATTTAGCTCAGTGGCACCACCTGCCTTGCAAGTGCAAGGTCCGGAGTTCAATCCCTGGTACCAAAAGAAATACATGTGTTAGTAGCTATTTGTACTGGGCAGTAATCTCAGATATTCTTTTTTTTGGCAGGGGGACCAGGGATCGAATACTCAGGACCCTGCGCTTGCAAGGCAAGCCATGGCACCACTGAACTAAATCCCCGGCCCGAGAGATTCTTAACATTTGTTTACTTTTCATATCTCCTATAGTTTTAGCTTGTTTGTTTTGATGGTGCAGGGGATCAAACCCTTGTACATGCAAGGCAGGTGCTCTACTACTGAGATGTATCCTCAGCCCTATAGGGTTGTTTGTGTCTTTTTTAGTGGTACTAGGGCTTGAACCCATGACCTTCACATTGAGCTATATCTCCAGCACCCACCCTTCTTCTCTCCACTCTTTTTCACTTTTTATTTTGCTATAGTTTCTCACTAAGTTGCCCATGCTGGGCTCAAACTTAGGATCCTCCTACCTCAGTCTCCCAAGTGCTGGGATTATAGATGTGTGTTACTGAACGTGACCCGCTATAGCTTTTAATATATTCTCTGGTCCACAACTCTTTTTTGAGACAGAATCTTGCTAAGACTGGCCTTGAATTATATAGTCCAGGATGGCCTCAAACTCACAGTGATCCTCCTGCCTCAGCCTCCCAAATGCTAGTATTATAGGCATATGCCATCATGCCTGGCTTATAGTCCTAAATGTATGATTATTACAGTTTTTGACTTTATGATGATATAAAAGTGATATGCATTCAGTAGAAACCATACTTTGAATTTTGATCTTTTCCCAGGCTGACAGTATGCCTCATAATACTCTCTTGAGATGGTGGATGGTGGCAAAGAGCCACAGGTCCCAGTTACCATATTCTTGTGAGGGGTAAATAGCCAATACTCTACAGTATACTATATTCCTAAGTTATGATGTTATGGCTTGTGTATCTAGATGTCCCCCCAAAGCCTCGTGTAGTCCATTAATGGGGCTTTTTCTGAGGTGGCTGGATCTAAAGTGTATGATACTGAAATTGATGCATGGTACAGTGCTAGGATCAGGATCACTAGGATTAAGGGATACCCACCCGAAGTAGCCTGGATAAGGTAATAAGGAATAGAAAGAGCTGTGGTCATTCCTTGCTTGCTTCGCTACCTTCTGCCTACCATGAACTGTTTATTCGCTGTGATACCATGCCACCCTGTTTTGGAGCTAGCCAATTATGGACTGAAACCAAACTGTGAGCTAAATAAACCTTTCTCCCTTAACTTGTGGATGTTAGGTATTTTGTCTTAGCAACGCGCAAAGTAAGATAGAATTTGGCACCGGAGAAATGGGATCGTTGATGTGACTGTAACTGACCATGTGGTTTTGGAGCTGGCTTGTGGGAAGGAGAAGGGTTAGGAAATGTTTGGAGATGCTAGCTGAAAAAATAGAGCTAGAATGCCTGAGGCTGTACTGGAATGGGAGATTCTGGTCAGAGTTCAAAAAAACAGAATGCTGATAGAAATTCTGCTGGTAAAAACCAGGCTCAGGAAATTTCTGCTGGAAAGAAGGACTGAATTGGTTGTTGTACACCAGACAGTGTGTGTTATGCCTTGGCAGAAAGTTCATCCACATTTTACCTGTGTCCAGAGACTGCATGAGACTGAGATTAAGGGTGATGAACTAATTAATCTGACAAAAGAATTTTCAAGACAGTCTAAAGTTGAGGTAGTGGCATGACTACTGTTGGGGGGTTTTAGCCAGATTTATGTTGTGAATCAAGAGCAAAGGACAAAATGATTTAAAATGTTTTGAGTTTGGCCAGAAAAGAAGTTCTGGTGAAGTTATGGCCTGCAAAGATGGAACAGAAGAAATTTGTTGCCAAAGAGACTAGAACGAAAAAGCCAAGTATTTCAGAAGAAGACAACAGAAAAGATGGCCTGGGGATATCACAAGAACCAACAGGATTCCAGCCTCTACAGTCTCAGAGTTGCAAAAGTGAAAGACTGCTTTGAGAAGAGTGCCTCTGAGCACCATGTTTCAGAATGGTGGCAGCCTAGGGAGGTTATTCCTCAGGAGTTGGTTCATAGGCACAGGACCCCTAGAGCCGAGACAGAAAGAAGTCTGGCTACTGCTCTAACTGGTGGCAGACCTTGACATTATCCATGTGGT